CTACAATGAGGCACTAGGAAAAATTTTTACCTACCACAGCTTTTACACTTTCTCATCCATAAGAGCTTTGATTTTCAAGTAATTTAAAACTTGTGAAAGTGTGCTAGTGTTTCTTCAGTGCTGAATCATCAGTTATTAGAATAAGACATTCTGTGTACTGAGTTGATGAGAATCAGAGACTTTTTTCTTTACAGTACAGAAATTCAGCTGAGCACAACTGTTACACAAATGCACCATAATTTCACATTTTCCTAGTCACTTAAACTTCCTCTTTGTAAAAGGAAGGTTTTAAGAAAGAAATGAATCTATTTTCAGCAGGTCTTTTATGAAAATGACATTTTTAATAAAAAAGAAAAAAGTTAAATAAGGTATTACGCTCCAGTCTATTCAAGATCATTTTGCACTAGCCAACAAGACACAAACTTGCTGTGTTGTGTTGCCCTCTTCAGGTCGACAGCACTTACATTTTCTAGTTCTTTTGCTTGGTGAGTCATCGCCTTTCGATTTCTTTCATAAAAATGTTCAGATTTGCAGTTTCAAGTAGCAGCCAACTTTACCTCTATCCCACCAATGCTTGAAGTATTTTTGATCTAAAATTCTACAGAAATAAACTTTACTTTTGACCTCTACATGTCCCTAACTTTAATACTAAACTTGACGATTATCAAAATATCAGCTAGTGTTCAAAAAGATGGCTAAAATAATGTCAGCACTGGTACACAAGCCTCAAGACAACAGGCTTAAAAAGCTCAATTGATCCAGTTTATCGAAGAAAATAGAAGCTGCTGAAATCACTCTGTAAGTAAATTGGAGGTTTAAAAGTCAGATGACTTTAAATTGGTGCAAGGCAAAACAAAATCTAGGAATTGAAGTCAAACAAATTCAAGCTTGAAATGCAATGGAGGCTTTTTACCCCAAAACAAAGAAAGATTTTAATAATCTACTAACAAAAAAGGATGGATGCATTATTACTTGAAAATTTTACAGGCAGACCCAGCATCTTTCCACATAATCTGTTTTGAACAGGTTTTGAGTAGTTGTCATAACATGGGCCAAACTGTGATGCTGATTTGCATACTTGTAATGGGTTTTGCAGTTGACTATCTGAGCTCTGCTGATTAATTGGAAATAAAAATAGTCTTCCATTGCCTGGGAAAGGGCCATGCTTGGGCTTCTGATTCATTTATTAAGCCAGATATTAATAATGTCCTTGAATATTTAATTTCCCCCTCCCACTTTGCTGTTTTCAGAGGACAGGTAGACATTTAAAACTGTCTGACATGTCAGTACTGCAACTTTGACAGAAAGAGCAAAATGTTGGATTTAACGGATATATTATCAAGTATGGAAAATTTCACTCACATTACTAAGGCAGATAAACAACATAACAATTTGTGATCATATAATTTAATCACAACACCTTAAGGGACTTATGATATGAAAAACCTGTTCAAAGCTAAGGCCTACTATGTAATTAGGCAATAAAGTTAACCTAATCAAAACCATTAGAAAACAGAAGCAAAGGAAATGCTCATTCTAGTACCAGGGCATGTGCCAGTATCCACATTGGGGAACAAGCAAACAACCCCAGATCATCCGCTTTTGTGCTGGCAAACACACAACAGCCAGCCTGCCTTAAGCCAAGTGTAACTCTGGGAAAACTTAGAAGAACTTGTAATGAATAATTTTAATGCATGCTCTTTCACACACTTTTGTAATTTTATTCTCAAGAATGAAATTCTATTTACAACTTTAAATCCTATATACTCATAGGGCAGACTCCAGAGGAAAGCAGGAAGATTGACAGAGAGAGCAGGCAAGAAAAAGTGGGTGAGCACGACACGGGGAGAGAGCAAGACACCAAATGAGTGCAAACTAAGTGCACAACAACTGAGACTCAGAGTGCTCCCCTGTACAGTATACGACAGCAAACAGTAGTTCACCAGGGTAGTCTCTATCTAGTGATAGAGATTACACTGGAGTCCTCTCTGGTGCCTGACTAATATAGCCCATCACAGGGCCTGGAGCCAAAGACTGATGAAAACTTCCTGCCATCTATCAGTCATATACTTTGTTCAATTAGAAAGTGCAAAACCAGCCGGTCTTATAAACCTGGGGAAAATGTCCTCAAGCCAAACTAGCTCTAATACTGTATAAGAAAAGCAACACTCTTAAATGCATAATATGCTCAAAACATTACTATTATCTCTTGCTATTAAAGAACAAGTGAAAAAAAAGCACTGTAATCAACAGTACTACCAGGCAAAAAAGCAAAAACATTTTTGAGCAACTGTCAACTGAAGACACAGCAGCTTAGACCTCTGAACTGATGAAGTGGGATACTTTTTTTTTTTTTTTTTGTTTTGGATGCATGTTAAGTAAAAGTGTCACAAAAATATAATCACTATTTTTAAACTGTCTCTGGTAGAAAAAGTTTCCACCCATGTTAAAGGTTCGTCTGGTGCAAGTTCCATATGACACAGTTTAGAATATGACAGCTGTTAATAAAATCTCCAAGATCTCTTAGCTAACTTTTAAAATTGCAAATGAGTTGCTCCTTAGCGATACTCAGGCTTTTTCTTCATATTGTACAGTAGATGCCAGGATTCTGGTCCAATCTGAGTTGCTACACTTAAAAGAAGAGGTGCTGGACAAGGGCTTTTAAAATTACCTGTGGTTAGTTTAGTTCTGACTTACTCAAGTACAATGTTCATATTTTTGCCATCTCTTTCTCCCACACACACTATCAGATTTGGATACCACATGAGGTATGATTCATATTATTCTTTAGAAATGTATTTTAATAGACAAGCTTTACAATTGAAAGAGCCTTTGAGTTTTGAAGATATCAGGCCTTCGGTGAAAACCATGTCAGATAACTTTATTGCACGTACTTTTTCTGTAGCAACTTTTCCCAGTCACATTTAATTGTTGCTAAAACTGATTTTTTCTGAGTTGATATAATAATCTAGTATTGAAGGAAAACAAATTCATCCACCTCATATCTCCAAAACTCAATCTAGGCAGTTCCCTTCTAAAAATTTTGGGGTAATGGAAGTAATGGAGACTAAGAGGAAGAACTCCCCCCACTGAAGGCAATGCTTAGTGATTTCCTGCCATCCACCTGTATATCCTTAAGTATCCATAAGAACACTATGTGAAAACACATAAGGAATAAACATCCTCTGTAATACAAACCCAGGCTAAATTGGCTTGCAGGTATTTATGTAGGGATATGCAAGCAACTAATTAAAATGCAAACCTTACTTCTACCAGCACTAATGGAAATTAAATGCCATAGGGGTGGGGGTTAAATACACCTTCAGAATACTTTTGAATTAGTTACTTCTGTATATGTAAGGCTGTCACTAAGTACTGTAAAACTGTCTAAAACTAGAGGAATTAACTTCTTCCTTGGAATGAAATTATAATCTCACCCTTCCTAACACTTTCTGAAGATTCCTTTAAATATACAGACTTTTCTGATGAGCTGTAATCAGTACACAACCCAAGAAACCAAACAAAAAAGCTAGAAACACCTGCATCCACTTTTTTAAAAAGAGGAAGATTACTTAAAATACTTAGAAATATTAAGAGCAGAATTACTGAAAATAATACACACCAACCTTCTCAAAGGCTGTCTCAGCGTCATCTTTATTTGTGTTTGGGCTTCTATTCTTAGCTAGATATTTTGGGTTTGAACTACAGTAAGTAAGGGTTTCCAGTTGAAAAGATAATGATAATAAATACAAGTATTACTGGCTAAAGCAACAGATATTACTGAATTAGATTTTTTTTTCCTTTTTTTAAAAAAGCTTTATTAGCTTGCAGTCATGTGATATCACAGAAAATTTCCCTCATGGCATAAACATCTGCACTTTATTCATAAAGCAAAACCTCAATTTCAAAGACATTTATGTAATTTCTATGAAAAGACTTAACCCCTCCCCCCATCACAGAACAAACACACAACTTAATAACCAAACAAATTCTGTGAGTGAACTACTTTTCCTGATACGTACCTTTTGATACTTACACAAAACTTGCCATCTGCTATCATCTCTGACAAAATAACTGACTTCCGTTCTCAATCTAAGGTTTCACTATGATGGTAAATGTCTTATGTCTAACATTAAAAGTTACTTCAGTCCCACTGCAAGATTGTATAGATTTTTATGGTTGTTAAAACCTGTTAGAAAGTACTATCAGACTATTCAGTACTATGAATAAAGGCCTTTGCTAGTCACAGGTGCAAAACTTAAATGTAAATAGATAAAAATATTTCAAGGACAAAACAGAGAAGAATTGTTTAATTTATGGAGAGGCTACGCAAAGTCTGTACAAGCTTTTAACCATACTTAATTCCAAACTTCATCATGACCTTAATGCTATAAAAACTAAAGAGACAAGAAAAAATTGTAAGGATTCCAAGGAATATGTCTCCAAATAAACCGCTGAGAAAAACAGAGCACTGGTATATTAAAACAGAAAAAAGATTCAAAGCTAGTTTTGGATTGTAAAGTATACAATTAGAAGACAAAGGTAAGAACTATGCCGTTACTTTAACCTTATAACACCAACAAGAAGTCTACACAGTGGTTGAGGGAAAGGTGTTGTTCCCGAAATGTTTGATGCAGACCTCTCAGAGGGCATTTTGCATCCAAAGCAGTATTCAAAGTCAGAAGTTACTTTTGATGACAGAATTAGCTTTTTTTTTTTTTTTTTTAAAAAACCCCAAACAAACAAATATAACCTATACCAGCTGTAGCACATTCTAAAGTATTACACACTTACAACATAATCAATAGTAATTACCTATTAGAATAAAGACAATCTATTCTGTCTTTGTTAATTCATAAAATTCAAGGGTCCAGCAAAGATAAACATACAAAGTTTTACCATGTTAGAAAAGGGAACATATGATTCTGAAAACAGATTATGATATATGACACCTCGGTGGAACAGTTTGATAAAAGTGGTTTTCTTTCATTGTCTCCTACCTGATAAATTCTAAATGGGATGTATCGAAATCCATTATCTTCTGGAGGATACTCCATGAGTTTTCGATTTATTGCCCAAAACTGCTCAAACTTATCTGTGAAGGTAAAATTAGATTTTGTTAATATTAATAACATATATCCTTTTTCAGCTAAAAGAGGTAAATGAGATGACTGGAACAACATGCAAACTTTTCCTACAGAAGTCTGACCTGTATGAATTTATTATTCCTACATTTCTCTTCCCTTAGACTGAAGCCAAAGGAAAGTCATCTGCATTCTCCTATGAAAACAGTGATGTGGCAACTTAAACTGAAAGAGAAAGCAACTTGAATTCGTATTGTACTTCCCACTATTAAGGAAATATTGGGCCACAAGTTATGGATTTCATTACCTCAATTAACAGTGCCTGTTTCTCCACTCCATGCTGCTACTGGTCCACAGTTTTAAAAACATCTAATTGATCCTTAACTATAGATGAACAATAGGTGTAAAGTGTAGAGAAACAAAGCAGTAGAAAAACTTCTTGAGGGGTTTACATTTGGATATGTAGCTCTTAAAATAATCTGCAACAATGTATGATACAATCAGAAGACATACTGCCAGTTTCATCACACAATCTGAAAATAACATTTTATCTTTGAAACACATTTTAGTTAATATTATCCAAGTAACTAGGTTTAGTAAAAGTAGCCTGAGGGAGCACACCATTTCATCCTGTTCAGACATTACATGGATTGAATAGTTTATTGCACTTAAAATGTATTAAGGACAGCATAGGTCTAGAGTAGTAAAGGCTTTTATACATGCATATCAAAAAGCCTGCAGTATAACCATTACAGAATTCAGGCCCCCTGAAGCAAGGTAAAATTCAGAAATTTATTAGTGGAACAAAGGTTCTTCCCACTTCCAAAACTGCTGATAACAATTAAAGTAATTGCAGAAAATTAAGAGTTTGAGATTTGCTTCACTCCATGCCTATCAGTGTTCTAAAAGACACAGTTAATACATATTGCAGGGTTTGTAACACCTTGCTTTTTCTGACTGAATGTGACACATGGCAGGAATTTCCAAGAAACCATAAATAAACTCCTGCCAGGTATTCTGTAGGAGCTACCCCACAGCACACCAGCTAGGAAACTCAGCAGGCAGCAGTTACAGTGACCAGCCTGGAGCTGACTGTACCCAAGCAAGCCTGCATTTGGGAACCCCAGCCTAGAGAGTCAGAGCTTTACTCTTACAGTAACTGGCACAAAGAAGGACTGCATCCTCCTCATGAACTCTTGACAGTGGGATGGTGAATATTTAGTGTACCTTCCTCATCCTTGGAGACAGCATTGAGAACAGCTTACAGCTTTCACTACAGATCGTGTGGACAGGAATCCTACAGTAGGCATTGATAAATTTATACTTTAATTACCACTTCTGACTATAAACCCAGTTGATAAAACTATTAATTATGGTGATACACAAAAAATAATCCAGACTTAAACTAGTGTGCTTCAGCAAACTCTTAAATAAGGAATCTACATACTTGGAGACATCCCACCTGAACAAAACTAAAACAAACATCAACTTTATTTACTTGTTTAACACTCATACTGCAGTAAGTAGGAAAGTTGGGTGAACAGCTTAATGTTCTCAAAATGCAGTAGAGATGAGCAACACAATTTATGGGTCAGAAGAACAAGAAATTCTGAACAAATAACAGACATGGTAGGAGCTTAAGTATATTGTCCCTTGTGGCATATATGGCAAGCAAGTGAATCTTTCAAGGACAAAAAAGTTAAACAGGGGTAATGTACAGCTAACTCACTTCTGTTTTTCATTCCAGCTTCCCAAGTTCCAGAAATCATGCAGGTAATCTTATTTAAAGTCATGTAAATTGACAAATTTATACTTCTCAGACTATTGTCTGAGCACTCAGACAATGCTCAAGACATTCTACTGTTTTATCAAGATGTTTACATTTCTAATAGTTTCTATAGTTTTTAAATATAACAGCAATTAATCTGCAACAGTTGAATGATGAACTTGTTGCAGTTTGTAATCAAGTATGTTCTGTCAATCCACCTGATATCCCGAGGAATCTAAAACTTTCTAGTAAACTGGCTAGACAAAATGGAGTCAGACATCTTAGACACACCTCCACTGTTTGTACAGCACTGTCTGAATACATCCAATCTAATTCATCCTCGTAACTTTATACTGCTGATATCCAAACACCTTTCCGTGGATAGAATATCTGTACTACAGGAAACTGAGCTGGTTATAAGAAAATTAACATAATTTTTTAAAGCAAGCAGCACAAAAAAAGCTATCCAGTTTGCATACTGATATAACCTCACAAGATCTTTTATTAGCATTACACGCATTGGCTGAATGCCAGAATCCTAAAGCTCCAAAATACAAAATCCAAAAATAACTGTTTTCGAAGAACCCTTAAGACTCAAAGCTCAAAACAAACAAACAAAAAACCCAACACCACCCAACACCTCCCCTCCCCCAATCCCCTTGAAAATATAAGTGAAAAGATTCATCATTCTCCTATTTTTGTGTGTCAGTACCTCCTATTTATGCAAAACAGACTTAAGAAAGCTATTAAAGCTATGATGAGCGATAAGAACTAATTAGTGCTTTGGCTAGACAGGACTTAAAGACAGAAGGTGCTGGCCGGAAGTTTGACAATCAAAACAAAACTGAGTTTTCATCAAGCCAGTAAACAAGAAAGAGCTCTATGCCTATCAGCAAAAGCACTTTATACACTCATCTCCCTCCCTTGTGAAAAGCTGATGCAGTCTACATGATATCTAAACTCCCATAACAGTCAAATCTGATTACTTTTGTTTTCCACAATCCGTTTTTAAGAAAGTGCTTGACCGATGCGTTAAAGAGTTTCTGTATTAGCAAAAAACAGTACTAGCAAAAGGCAGATGTTCATATCTGAATAACAATATTTAAAGCAATGGCAATAAGATTTGAACAGAAGTGAAATTAGTGACAGTATAAAAGTCTCAGATGACTCTACTAATCATATTTTTTAAACAAGAGAGGATGGTTGCTATATAACTACCTGAATAAAATATAAAAACTTTTCTCTCTGTATTTTATGTCAAAGATCAGAAAGCTAATAACCAAATAATGCAGGAGAGATCCAGTTGAAAAAAAAAAAATCTATCAGCTAAATCACTTGTATTTTAAATATTTACTTAACAGATGTGCAATCACTGAATGCCCAAACAACTGACAGACATTAGCCTTCAGTGATAGAGATGCACAGAATCTAAGCAGAGCTTTGAAAATACCTATTTACATATATATATAAATAGTATGAGTTGGCAAAAACTACAAGGACTTAATGTCATCCATAACAATAATCTCAGTACACAAATTCATTAAGCAACAAATTAAATCTCAAAAATAAATTTACAAATATAGTATGTCACATGGTGCATTCAGGGCTCAGAAATCTATAATTGAAATTGTTCATGCCTTTAAAGCACCCTTTAAAATAGTTTGGTTTTTTTTTTTAAAAAAAAAAAAGACTGCTAGAGGTAGACACTTTGAGAATTTTTTCCTCCATTAAGCAAGACTGGAGATCCTTTAGCAGTCATTTAAATTAATCCAATTTTTGTAACTGTGATATTAAAAAGTTGTTGGTAACTCCAGTCACAGGCTGTAGTTAATAGTAACTGCTGAACCTTTTACTGTTAAGCAGTTTTAACTAAGAATTATTAGTTCCGGATGAAATTTTGAAGGCTGGGCCTCTTTCTCAGGTTGAGACCTAGGGGCAAAGTTCTTCAAACAGAAAAATTAGTTTCACTCGTGCTAGTGTCTTACAGTCATTCTCTGAAACTCAAGTGCTGTCATGCTTCAAACAACTTGAAATTTCACATAGATATTGATGTTAAATGCATCTCTTCCACACCTGACTCTACGAAAATGGTAACCAGAATAGATCACTGTGAGGGTAAAGGACACTGCTCTAGTGCTTGCAATCAACATACACATTTCAATGCAGCATAGCTTTAAATCAGCATACACAAAGAATATGGGCAATTATCACTGAATGAGAAATTATATCTACAAGTAACTTTTGATAAGACACAGTGGTCACAGCATATAGCCAGTTAAAATGGAATTCCCACTGTTCCACAGTGGGTGAAAGAACTAGAAAAATCCCACCCTAATGTTTAAATTTATCAACAGAAGTATCTTAATAATAAGGAATTATTTTGTTTCTTTATTTGACACTGGTGCAACTGCTATCACAGTGCTGACTCCAGAACTGGATATATTTCAAGAAGGCTGTGGAGAAGGTTTAAATAATAGGAGTAATTAATGCAAAAAGAGGGAAAGATTGTTTAATTCAAAAAGAAAACAGTAATTCACAGCTTTTCCAATAGCTTTTTAGAAAGTCAAAAAAGTGAGCAAACAGGTATAGCCCTCAGGGTAGCACATATGCATGTTTTTTGTCTGGACTATTCATGGTTTCTTCTTAAAAGCTATCTAGCTGTATAAAGTTTTTTTTTAAAAAAGCTTGGAATTTCATTGTATCTCTAGCTCTATGCAAGCAATACCAATTTGCAGCTTGCATAAAAATGTGTCCAATCCTTCATTTTAAAAAACACAAAACTTTTGTCTACTCTCAGTGGTTCACCACTGTTTAATAACCATATGAACCATAGAAATGATGCACAGCTACAAGTACTTGGGCAGAACCAACCATAGCATTAACTAAGAGATCAAAGACTCCAACTGATGTATCAGAACCATACAAAACCTTTAGATTGGAAATGCCTGTGGAGACCAAGCTTTGGTATAAAAGCTCCTGCCCTCCCCCCCCTCCCCCAATAAGAGCCAGCTGTCTGCACAAAGTTAAATGAGTTTGCTCAAGGCCTTGCCCAGGGAAGTTGTGACTGTCTCCACAGGTTTCCCCCAGCCACTTTCACTCCCCCACCCCAACTTTCTCCTGCTGCAACTTGCAATCATTTTCGTTTGTAAATTGCCCAATTCCACTGTCAACGAAGGCATGTCTGAGAGGGGTATGACCCCATCTGCTCTACAAGCCTTCCTTTTAGGTAGTGGAAAGCAGCTA